TCCAGCATCCCCTTAACGTTTCAACTCGCTGTTGTTCCAACAGCAACTACTTCGGTCTTATTACGAAAAGATTACGCGCTTATATTCACTTATATTCACTAAAAGAAGTAAATTTTTGTGGAAAATGATAAGCTGAGAAAATGTTCAAATTTAACGTTCATTGTCTAACAAGTAAAGAAACGTGAAAATTAAGACAAAACGATTACACGGGGATTCGTAAGGATTTCGTAATGATTTCGGAGACACTGTCCCACGATTACATCAAGTGGTTACCCCCTTGCGTCAAACAATACGAGACTCCACCCTGACGATCGCCCGTGTGAACCCTGCGTTTTCTCACTGTGGATACAATGGAGCGCGAGAAATAATTTCTGCTGCGCTGAAGATGGTTAGAATTTTAATCGAAACTACAAGCAGTTAAATATTAAACTTCAACACGCACCAAGACCCCGCGTTCTTCACTCGCAAAGCCGTTTTTCCCTAATTAACACTTTCGCTTTTCATCTTTTGGATTCACATCGACCTTTTTAGTAACGTTTTTAGAAACCGAATATGAAACCTTCTAGGTCGCCAGTAATAATTAACAAATCCAGTATACTTTATTGTTTGACCCTAACGGGCAAAATAAAGAAACGAAAATTTTGCCAGTTATGGTCAAACAATAAAGTATACTGGATTTGCCTTTAGAAACATTTTACGAAGCGAATTATTTTCATACGTGAGACAACTCGGAGGTAAATATCGCGGGCCAATGAGATCGCGACGACTCTTTGTTCGCCACGGGATACGTGATTGTGTTTCCCTTCCCTTTAATGCCGTGGAAACAAGGAGCCCCGGGGCGTAATTAGCTCTTTGAGATGCTGCAACTGAATCCAGCAACGAGGTGAGATTTTTCTAACAAGTCGCGATTGACGCCGAGTCTGCTCTTCTATTGCTTTGTGTGGGGAAAATCAGAGTTTCGCGATGGGATGAATACTAACGTGAAAAATTGCGAGTAAAGTTATATGAACTTCCGCGACTTGGCGAGCAACAGGCAAACGGTGTGTCGTAGTCAACGAAATATTATCTCTACTGCACAAATTTCGTAGTCTTTTTGTATGCTCGAATGACAAAAGGAAATGTAAAAATGCGCAAAATATTCCAGACTCGACTTTTCCTCTCGCCTACGTTATTGCGATCAGACTTTTTAAACAGACGATAAAAGGTTGGTAGATAAAAGCGTGCGTGGAACAGGAAGTTTGGAACTTTCGCTTATAATTATATCATTCATCATACTTCATGAAGCACGAAAGTTGAGTGTCGTCGCTTGATGAATGTTAAAATAATTGTTTCAACCTCGCGCACGCAACGCTCGTAATTCAACATACAATAGTTAACGCCGCCGGCGTAACAAAATTTACGGCGTGACTGAGAAAAATGTTGCGGGCGCTGCCGAAGTGAAAAATATTCGAAAAAAACGAGTCCTTTCCCCTTTGTCGCACGTGCCCTTCGGTCAGTCCATCGGCTTTAAAACCTTTTTGATACGCGCAAAGTCGAACGGCAGAGATGTGCCCCGGTTTCATCGAAAACACGCTGTTATAACGTTATCGCGCCGTGTAAAAAAAAAACTGTACACTAACTGTGTACAGTTTTTACAATGTTAGTACGCGATCAAAACTACATAGTGCACGGCACACAGTTTTTACAGCGTTACTGAGAAAACAGAAATTGCATTCCGACTCTGTTTGCGCGCAGCTATCCTTTTGATGATGATAACTGGATAACCGGTTGCCCTGCGACACACGCGAGCGCGCGATAAAGGCCACGTGTGAACTTATGATGTTTATCGGCTCAATTCCGTTTAGCGCGATCATCGAGCGCGGTTGATTGCCGGTTCGATTTCGCACGGGATTATCCCGATAATGAATAGGGCACACCCCGGCGCGCATTCATCCCCCCCCCCCCCTAACGCTTTCGGATAATGTCAGATTCCGTGCGCTTTGCGCGCCTAAGTAGATTTGCGCGTAATTCGCAGCTTGCGTTTTCCATCGCCGGCTTCCTCCGAACGTCATCGCCGCAAAATTGAATGCCGCTCGCACGTGACTTCTCTCTCCTCGTGGATTTCCCGGAAGGGAGGTGCCCGAATTGGAAACGGAATTGTTCCGTCGCGCCGGTTTAAAGTTTCCACCGCGGCGCGTTGCTAATATTCGCGAGGTCGCTCGTGATGCGTCAATTGGCAATTTTAACCAGGCGTAACGAGATTTGTGAAGAACGCAACGGAGATACACGGCGTATCCTTTACTTTGAAAACTGACTGACACACGTTGAACAGCGCCGGCGACGATTGAAACGAGAGCGTAAAATATGTAATATCGAGCCATTTAATTAATTCAGGTCAATACGATATTAAACGCATATATGGTACATTACGTCAATGGGTTACAATTGCAATTCAGGATGTTCATTGTAATAGTCTTCTCGAAATATAGAACGATACGCAATATATGCACAGCGAGTTTACGCCGCACCGAATTCCTAAATGAAATTCTTGCGGCACGAAACTCTGTGAAAACTTTTACGACGCTTGTCTCGTCCCGGATCTGTTATTGGCTACGATAATTACTATCCGTTATTCCGTTATTGGTAGAGAAGAAAGGCGTACTTTATCCACCGCGACGGGATATTAAATTGGTTCTCAGGCCGGATATCGATGGAGGACTCGCGGCGGCGGAAATAAATAGATGAATTTTTCTGATAGAAAGAGAATACCATTCTGCCGATTGTATCCCCTCTTTGTAAGGGACGCAGGCGTTCCCGAATCGCGCCTTCTTTAGATCTCAATCGCGTGGCTTTATCCCGGACCTCGGCTGATCCGACAAGCTGCAAATCCAGTTGGAATCTGTTTAAAAGTCCCCGCGGATACCGCAACTTCCGTGTCGCTCGCGCTGTCGCGCGCATAGAATATAATTCATTTTTACGCAATCCTTTCGCTGGAACGTGACGCGCTGCAACGCGACTGGAACACGTCCTAAAATGCGCCTCGTCCATCACGGGGTTGGGGTTGCAAGCCAAGACATCCGAGACGATCCGATACTAGTTTGTTACGGCCAACATCAGGCGCTGGTCTCGTTTTACGCGGACATTTACGAGCTTGTTACGTCGGGAAAATTGCCGCGATGTAATTACAAG